ATGTACAGTTTCAAAAGTATAAAGGCACCCCAAAAAATAGTTGGTCCGAGATAGAAAGAAGGATTCATGGTTCACTACTTATATTAGCTTTCAACAGTGCGATTTCTGCTTCATTCCAATTCATTTGCGATTCTATGGCCCAGTAAAGGCGCGTCACTTCTTCAGAAATGGCCCCACATAAGGCTTCGAATAAGCTTCATTTAATCACGGAGCTTATCATATCTGGCAATAATCTCTCTGGTCTAATACATCAGTCAGCCAAGTTTGGCCTCAGCTCCGCTTTGCTTTTTTTCAGTCATCTGCCAACGCTACCAACCAATGCACCCTATCCGCTAAACACTGACAGGCGAAATTAGTGCCATGGAATGCAAAACAATCAATGCCTGCACAAAGTTCTGACCTCATACAAAACAACTGGAATATCACCGTGAGGCGGATCTGCGCAATATATCCCCATCCAATATTGGAAGACCTTAGGTGCGCAATCGGTACTATCTGGATGCTTTTTCTCTGTGTGAAGCTCAAATCGCCCAGGCACCTTGAAAAGCTAGTGTGCTTCCGCTACACTTCGTCACTGAATTGCAGAAGAATTGAAGAAAAGAAAATGTTATTGTTCTACAGAGAACAAGTGCTATCATTGATTTATGTTTACCCATCACTACCTCAAGGTTTCAGAATCCCCTGCTCAGCGATTTGATTTTCTCACCTTCTGGAAGATCTCTCCCTCGAGGCAGGAGGTGCTCTTACATTTGAGACTTTCTATTCTCTATGTAATTATTTTTTCCTAGTCCTATGCAATCGATTTGGGAGTCGCCGACAGGAAAAGAATGAGGAATTTTTCTACGGATAGCTACTCTCTTCCATTCTCGACACAGTTGTGCTATTCGCTATCGTTAGAGATAATAAACATGTTTTCTGCGGAAAAATCAAGTTTTCATAAAGAGCCAAGCGAATCTTACTTCGTGACCAGTTTGAACGGGTGGGCGCCGAAGTGGGCGCATGAGAAGTATGGTATATGGCGTGGGAGGCCTGCCGTATTTATTTGGGGACCACTTTGGCGCTCATGGCTCTAAACTGTTTCTAAGGTGTTTTTTATTCTAATAAAATCGAGTTGAAGCGTTCGGAAATAGAGAATAGAGAAAAACGATCGATAGAATAGGATACAATGGGAGAGCGAAATATTATTGCCATAGGTTAGAGGCCAAAATACTGTATCAGTACCTATACCTGTGTTCTTCGTCACAGCATTGCTGCTTTAGCAAGCCTCTAACTTTTGTAGACAGCGAAGTCCTCTGGGTATCTCGTCTTTTGCTTGCACTTCTTTTTGTGCCCGATGATTCGCATTGACCACTCGTTCCAGGGCCACGGTGCTTTCTTATGCTTCCGCCTTGTGCTTCCGCCCTGCACCTCCATGGCGCATCATAGGGTGGTTTTGGCCACATTGTTCCAGGTCCGCTAAGCTGACCGTTATAGATGTGGGACTCCTGCTTTCATTATTCTTTGATTTCATTTCATAGAGATTCATAGAGAAAGTCCTTCTCAGCTGCTGTAGCTTCCACGACCGGATTCGGCGCTCGGCTCTCTCCTATTGCGCTTGTATACTTGATGAGGACCATGCCAATGTCTGCAAGGAGGAGTCTGAGGCCAGCCCCTCCGGAAGCGGATTGAGTAGCAGATTGTGTGGATTTAACATAGTGGTTAGTGGCACCGTTGGTCTGCGTGGAAATCAAGCATAAAATTACTTCGAGCTTTGTGGCCGACCAACAACGGGGGACAAGACTTCGAAGAAATTCTCTGGACGTTCGAGCAAGGGAGAGTACCCGCATTCAAAGATTGGCAATGTTTGGGCAAGCAGAATTGCCTAGACCATGGAGTGTGATAAGCAGTGTTGCGTTCAACCTGCCTTCAAAAACGATTCATCCAAGTCTCCGAAAATTCGATGGTACTCCGAGCACGCCCTCCTCTCAGCATTTGCCATATAATGATCTGAAAATTTAAGTGGAGTGAAGCACATGATCGCTCCCACACCTCACCAGGGAATACGGTCCACCCGGAGGCTTACTGTACTGTGCTTGTCGTTGGCTGTTCCAGTGGATCTGGTAAAGGCTCCGAAGAAGGCGAACTCGCCGAAACGTAAGCCAATAAACTGTCAGCATCAACCTCGTGTGCAGTTCAACAAAGCTATACCATTCAATCACCAGGGAATGTTTCGAACTTCCCATGGAACTTTGAAAGGAGACCTAGGTACATCGATAGTCTTGGACGCTGATTACAAATATGGACACTAAAACTGCTACGTGAACTTTGTAAGAAAGTTGTGAGCCTTAAAAGTTGCAAAAGAACGCTAATGATGAGGTGCAATGTGGAAACACGGTTGCTTTTTGCCTGGAACTTGTTCTGTAAGGGTAAATGGGTGCCCTGATTACGAATATGAGACTCGTTTTGGCGCAGAGCCACGGCGACTGTGATTCCACCAGGTAAGCTCGCCTCAGTAACGTTTTTTGCCAACTTTGAAGGCTCATAACTTTCTTAGGAAAGTTCACGTAGCAGTTTTAGTGTCCATATTTGTAATCAGCGTTCAAGACTCTATCGATACATCTAGGTCTCCTTCCAAAGTTCCATGGGAAGTTCAGAGCATTTCCTGGTCAGTAATCAATAGGCAGTTCTGCTTGCGAGCGATCGTTGCCCGTCTTTCGCTTTAAGGCTCTGTCTTGCTAGGCGTCGAGAGATTTCCAGCGAAGTCCTCTTCGGTCGCCTCGTGAAACGAGCTTGAAGGGAATCTTTATACTTTTCACGAAGACTAATGATGCCATTAACCTCGCTATGGAGCCCATACAATCTGCCACACGTGCCATTCGGATTTCGTACTGTTCGAAAATGTAAAGTTGGCTTTTGAACAGGTGGGTCCTTCAAGTCTGCTCAATAGCGTGTGCTCAACAAGCACTCTCAAACATCTTCTCAGTAAATGACGCCATCGAGAAATGCCCATGCGTAGCAATGTCGAGGCAGCGTCCACTTGGACCACAGCTTTCTTGTCACTTCGCCCACATCGGACAGGATTGAGACTCTCCAGGCTTACATGCCTTTTTTCTGGAATGCACTCCAAAGATCATCTTGGATAAGCGCTCGGTCGATCGTGCTAGTAGGACAGATCCTTCCGGGACACTCCGGGTCATACAGTGCGTTTCATAATTATAAGGTCACCTTAAATTTTGCATTTCCAAAACCAGCAGCCAACTGGTGATTTTTCCACTATCACCAAATGATTCCCCACTACGAATAACCCCTGTATCGCAATTTTGGTGGGAGCAGCTTTTCTTCGAACTTTTTTGTAATTATTTTTCGATTTTTGCACCGTTTCATAATTATAAGGTCACCCTGAGGAAAAGAACAATTACCTAAGATTAATGAGATACCTAAATACATAGTAATCTTCCTCCTTTATCGAAGGCAACATCGAATAACCTCCGTGGCCTACTTGAATTGAGATTCCAAGGCAGCTGACCATCGATTCACGTCCGTGCTTTACGGGTTCCTGTTTCAGCTCTTTTGTACTTCCTAACTGGCATTTAACCGAGCGGTACTCCATGGCAAAGAAGTCCTTGAGATATTCCTGCGAAATTCGACCAGAACTCCAAAATGGCTTCAGAACTTTTGAGTTTTGAGAGTAATTCTGCTTCTGGTTGAGTAACTTAGGTGACACCTGTGGTGTTTTGTAAGAATACGCTGTGTAGACGAGGTCGTTGGCTCAAGAAAGAGATCAGATGTTCTTACAAGGCTATATGCTAATCCTTGGACTCCACTGTGTAGGCCATGGAGGCGAAGTTCCGGCGCAACATATTACAGAAAGTACCCACACCTTCCACATCTCCTTCACTAGAATTGCAAGCGCCGAAGTGAATGCTCCCTCGCAAGCATTGCAAAAGTGTTCATAACCAGGGAAACTTTGAATAGACCACTTTTATCGAAGAATACCAATCTTACTGGAGTTAGTAGCTGCGTGGTGCGATTGCGATGCAGGCTCAATGCGACGCTGGCTTTATTCGTAGTGAGGAATTAGCTGGTGAATACTGGAAAAATTCCCCATCTGCTACTTGTTCCAGGAACGCAAAGTTTTGGAGTGACCCCATATTAGGAAACGGACTGTATTGCCATGCAACACCATCAAGCAGATTGGCGGCGCAAAAGAGTACTTCTCTCGTACAGAGATTGAGGCATTGCGCGTTGAAATGATTGCATTTCAAGTGGTTAAGTTGAAGAGCTGGAAATCTAGCTGAAACAAATATACAAAATCCACAGTCAAACCTCTGTGGGTTCAAGCAGCATCGCGAAGGAGGTACCCTAGTTACCGTGATATGTGGCCAGTATGTAGCACAAACATCACACAAGTATTTCGTCTTGCCAACTTTGCAAGATGTCAACGTGAGACAGTCTCGTTTTTGGAAGACTATAAGCAGAGTTTGTCAGGCTGTCTTGTTAACATTCTCACATTGTGCAAATTGAGTGAATGTTTGACTCATTCCAGCGATGCCCAGAAGAAGCAAAAGTGGTTTTTCTGATAACTGTCAATTTTTCGTATATGTCGCTGTCGCGACCTAGGAAACACGTCAGCTATGTCAACAACAAAGACCAAACTAGATACTATAATACACACGTATAAAAACAAGAAGAATCGAGCAACCATACATTTCTAGGACTTTCATTTGCAATTGCGGCTTTCTGTTGCTTCGTGTTGTGCATACTATTGAAGACCAACCCTCGAATTCACTGCACCATGAATTTGGTTCCACTTCTTCTTATTGCTACTGCATATGTGAGCTCTGGCTCCTCCGACGTTGGAAAGCCTGGCGTAATTGAAGGGCTCAGGAATCTTACTAGGGGAAGGAATAGCAGTAAGGCTGAAAAGCTTATTGATCGCATCGAAAAGGTGGAAAATTTTCTAGAGAGTTTGATGGCGATCTGATCTGCTAATGTGTAACTACTTATAGGATTTCAAAAACATGCACAAACTCCAAAAAGACTTGGGCGAATACGAAGGAACGTTAGATATTGAAACTTCTCTCAGCGAAGAACAGATCAAGTTGCTGGAAAGACTAAAGGTTAGTTATGACTACTGAGGACATCGGTCGAACATAGGAGTACCTTGGACATTTCAGTCATCTATAAGGAAGATTCATATTAAATCGCCGCACAAGGAAAACACAATTGAGCGGGTGAACACGGAGAGTGGAATAATAGACGCGCTGTTTCAGGGCGATATGGTCCTCTCCAAGTTTGTTCCTTCTTTTCTTAGAGTAATACAGCACGATAAATTGGTCGAGCACTAGGAACGGAACTAGAGCTGCAAGGGGGTATAGTAAAGACAACATTAAGAAAAATGCTTATGCAGCAGAACCAGACCCATGTTCTCTTCGTGGGTCGGGTCTCATTCTAACGTCATCAACGTGAAAGTTTGCTCTGACTCTCTGCTCAATTAGAGTCAGAGGAATTATGAGTCCCTCCACTACTTTGGTAGTGGGGGGTAGCCTCCTCCTGTAGTGGGCACATTTCCCCTTCTTCGGTATTCAATCTATCGTGCCGTCTGCCCATAAAACAACTGCTAGGAGATACATTCCATCAGGGAACAACAAGACGAAGTTATGGAGGATTTTGGCGGTGGCCGTTTCAAACGGCAGGCTGACAACGATAGAACTCACCCTGAGAGAAAATGGTCAAATGGTGTTTCCTACTCACTCGATGGTAGCCTAGGTTAGTGCTCTCTTGCATATGTGCAAGAAAAATGAAATTCCCACAGTACGTTCAGATGAAAGAGCAAAAGCTGCTTTCAAGAAAGCAGCGGAACTGTGGATGAAAGACACATGCATTGACTTCGAAGAAGATTCGCAAGAAGAAGGTAAAAGATGAACGAGTTAAATTTTAGCATAGGTTCTTGAACGTCATTATTTCAGCTGAGGACCTTCTTCTTGTATACAAGGAACATGGATGCTGGGCAGAAGTTGGCAGACAGGGCGGATGGCAGTTGCTTTCACTCGGCGAAAGTTACTGTGAGACGGTGATGGTTCGAACTTATTTCCGTATAAAAAACGTACAAATTTAGCACTCACAAAGCAGTGTAAATGAAAAGAAACAGCGCTTTTTTAAATCCTCTTGTCGCTTTGCAATCCTTATTATCCTTTCTCGTTTACAGGTCGGAATGGCAACTCACGAAATTGGTCATGCCCTTGGATTCTGGCACACACATTCGAGATATGACCGTGACGATTTCATCACAGTCCTCAAAAGGAACATCCTGGTAAGATCTTCTAATGCTAATTATATAATACTAAGAAGCGCTTTAGCGTGACCAACGTAGACAGTTTGGAAAGAAATCAAGGAAAAACAATAACAATTATAATATTACATATGACTACGGTAGTGTGATGCACTACGGAGCCAGAAGGTGAGCCACCTATGTAGATTTTTGCACAAATGACGGAAACAGTCTAATATGTACAGCTTTATTACTAATACAGCTGCAAGAAAGGGGGAACTCACCATAGTACCCAAGGATATGAATTACACGGAGACTCTAGGATCTCACTTCATCGCATTTTACGATCTGCTTATGATGAATATGTACTATAACTGCACTGGTGAGCGATATATGTAATCACTGCGCTCTCAAATGCTTGATGAAGAAGAAAGTATTCCAGACGTGTGCAAAGGCGAAAAAACAAATTGTCATCATGAAGGGTTCAATCATCCACGCAATTGCTCCAAATGCATCTGCCCCAGCGGATATGGAGGACAGCTCTGCGATGAAAGGGTGGCTTTTATTCTGTAACCAGATTCCAAACTCTTTCAAAGAATCACTTCAGCCAGCAGGTTGCGGCAAAGAACTCTATGCGAACATGACGTGGAAAACTCTTGAAGACAAACTAAATGATAGTGATACCGGGTCGGACGGTTATATTAGGTGTCACTATTGGATCAAGGTTAGTTATTTTCCGGAAGCATCATTTATATATAATAGGCCGGGACTGTATTCTAAGGCACCAAAAGGTGGAAAGATAGAAATAGAGATTCTGCAAACACCTCAATCTCACCTCGGAGGATGCCCACATGCTGGTGTGGAAATTAAGACACATTCTGATCAACGCCTCACTGGATACAGGTAAAGAACTTGAATAAAAATTCAATATTATGGCACCCACACTGAACCTTTTGTAGATTCTGTTCAAGTTTTTTCGTCAACACTATACTCACATCGAGCTCAAGGCAAACAAGGATGACGACGAAGAGGATGACGAAGAAGAACCCGAGGACGAAGATGACGAGTTCCTGGGTAATGTCGTAAGGCTGGAAGTACCGCTACGTTTAGATTAACCCTTCGAATAAAAGTGTCTGAAGAGCCGAAATTCTGAAATATTTCGTAAATTGCTCCAAAAGTGAATCATAGAAGTACTAGAT